TGCTGCTGCTGCTGCTTCTGTTTCTGCTGTTGGTTGTGTTGCTGCTGCTGCTGTGGCATACGAGGCGGATGCCGCATCGCTGCTGTGGTGTACGTACACCCCATCTGCAGCAGCAACAGCAGGAAATGTTTCTGCAGCAGCAGCAGACATTGTCTTGTCCTCTGCAGCAGCAGTTGGGGTGTATAGGCAGCTATTAATGTCTATTTACTGGATAAAGAAATGATGCTAGGGTGTATAGACAGCTAGTAATATTTATTTAATGAATAAAAAGATCCAACTAAAGGTAAATGGGGTGTATATACACCCAATAATTGGCTTCTATAGATAAAATAAATATTCTTTTCCTTCTTTTATTATAAATAAAATTATATTTCTTTTTTTTATATTATATTGAGGTGTATATACACCTGAAGATATGGCCGCTGCCCAGCCGCATGCTAAGGCTCCTGTTGCTACATTAAGAGGAAAAAAAGTAGAAATAAGATAAAATAATGGTTTTTTTTCTTATTTTTTCTTTTAATTAATTAAAAAATATATATTTATAATTAATTAATGAATAAAAACAACAAGAAGGCAATTAACAGAACCCCCTGGCTGCTGCTGTGAGGTTATGAATAAGGTCATGATAATTGCGGTGTATCTGCAGCAGCCAAAAATAGGGTGTATATAGACAATAGCACAATTATATTTATATTTATAAATAAAATAAAAATAAAAATAAATAAAATAAAATAAAATAGAAGAAAATAACAAAAAGAACTCAATAAATAAATATAATTATTATTACCTCCTTATACACCGTAGTAGGTGACCTCCTCCCCCCCATCTTCGCGGTGTCTGTCTATCTTCTGTTGCTGCTGCTGTTGCTGCTGTTGCTGCTGTTTCTGCTGCTGTTTCTTCTATTTCTTCTGCTTATATATTTGTTTTTGCTGTTTGTCTTCCTTATTGCATGCAAAAAAAGGTATTTAAATGTATTTATTGTCTCTTTCCCTCTATAACAACAGGTAAGGAGAGAGCACCTTGTGGGGTCACCTCTTTGCTCCTGCATGCATATATAGGTGCCTATACACCCCAATTATTTCCTATTTCTTCTCTTTATTTTCTTAACTTTCTTTATTATATTTGCTGCAGCAGCAGCAGCAACAGCAATGACGTCTCATAGTATACCGCGTTCTCCCCCTGCGAGCAGCAGAAGGTCTGTTGCTGCTGCAGCAGCAGCAGCAGCAACAGCTGCAGCAGGCACTAGTGCAGCAACAACAGCAGCAACAACAGTAGCACAAGCAGGTATGTTACCCCGTCAGCTACTGTTGTTGCTGCTGCTGCTGCTGCTAGCAGCAGCAGCAGCAACAGGACAAGAAATATCCCTTAATGAGGGTAGTTGGACTCCTTCCTCTGCTTCTTCTTCTCTTTCTTTTTCTCCTTCTTCCTTCTCTTTTGCTGCTGCTCCTTCTATGTATATGTCTCCATCTATTTCTTTCTCTGCTTCCTCTACTCATTCATCACCAGCAGCAGCAGCAGCAGCAACACCAACAGCAGCAACAGCACCATCACAAGATACTGCAGCAGCAGCAGCAGCAGCAGCAGCAGCAGAAAGAAGTGCATATAATTCTTCTTCCTTAGGTTATTTTACTACGGATTATAATACACGTACACCTGGATCTCTTCCTGTTGCTGCTGCTGCTGCTGCTGCATCTCCTCATACATCTAGCTATTCTTCTTCTTCCTCCTCTGCTGCTGCTGCTGCTGCTGCTTCGCGTATCCCTAGATATACACCAACTGTCTCCTCATACACCCCAACTGTCTCCTCTTCTTATTCTTCTCCTGCTGCAGCAGCAGCAGGAAGCTACGGCTCTGTCTTATATACAGGAGACACTTACCCTATGGACAGCAGCAGCAGCAGCAGCAGCAGGAGCAGCAGGAGCAGCACTACTGGTATGCCTGTCTATGCTGCACATACACCCGGTAGTGTCTCCTCTTTTTATTCCCCTACATACACCCCAGTAGCATCTGCTGCTTATCCTGATTATAGCAGCAGCAGCAGCAGCAGATACAGCAGCGGCAGCACCAGCAGCAGATACAGCAGCAGCGGCACCGGCAGCAGCAGCAGCAGCAGCGGATATTATGCACCATCTACGCTTGCTGCTGAGGTCCTTGGCTCCTACGGGCAGCCAACAGCAGCAGCAGCAGCAGCAGCAGCAGCACCAATAGGACACCATACAACAACATCTGTATTGCCTGCAGCAGCAACAACAGCAGCAACAATGCCTGCAGCAAGAACAGCAACAGTGCATGCAACAACAGCATCAATGCCTGCAGCAACAGCAGCAACAGTAGCAGCAACTCCTGCAGCAGCAGCAGCAGCAATTCATGAGGGACAAGTAACAATAGCAGCAGAAGCAGCACCAAGGGAGTATGTTGTCCCTACAGCAGCAGCAACAACAGCAACAGCAGCAACAGCAGCAACAGCAGCAACAGGTATGGAGGAAGAAGCAGGAACAGT